AATTTTATGCTGATGAAATCGCACTGGAACAGCTAGTCATAGATAAAGTAAATTTATTTCGCTTTCAAATAACTAAATATTTTATGGTTTTAGCTAAACTGTTACAGAAATTAATATTACTATTATTTGTATTTATTTATTAAATTATTTATTTATAATATTATTTATAATAGTTGTGGAAATATTTTTTATATAATAATTTGTCCTAACCTTAAAAAATAAGGAACAACAAGGAATAGAAATATAAGAACATTCCTTACACGATTATAAGAATTGTTTGAATCGCTGGGGCGGTTTCCGCAGTTTACGGCAAACATGCAATCCAGTGCGAGGCTCGCGGACAATAGAATACACGTTTATCTACTGCCCAAGAAAACTATCATATCTTTAATAGAATTGCTAGCAATAGAAATGGAAAAATGTCTCGTTTAATACAATTTTAAATGTGTATTTAGTAATCGTTGTAAATATTTTGCTCATAAGTGAAAATTATAAGAGTTTTGTTTTGAGATAATTGTTGAGTAAAGATTTTTAGAAATGCTATATTATGTATTTTTTTTAATTATCAATACACTCTTAGGAAATAATAAGCTTTGATCTTAATAACCGTTTAATTTATAAGTAATTTCAATTGACAAAAAAATATAATTAAAACTAGATAAACTTCTTTATTTGTCTATAAATTACTTAGCGTAGAATTAGTATTACCTTGTTAGATAGGACCCGTGTTAAGTGATAATCAATACATCGATAATACAAACAGGTACCGCTTAGTGTATCGGGTCCAGGCTGACAAATGAGTCGGCAAACAGTCTGCGATGCGACGACCTGTCTAATGACTTGTTTGCCTTCCCCGAGCTTCCCGCACTTGTGACAAACACTCGTACATTGCTTGGATTCAAGGAACATTATTTGATGTCATAAATCAATATATTAATGATTTTAACCTTTGTAATAGTTCAAATATCATTCAATTAAGGATACCTTTCAATTAGCAACGATATAAGTGAACTGTAAATGTGACTTTTAGGACCAATAGCTTAATGGTTAAGGGTCGCCGGTTCGTAGGTTCGAAATTATTCTGTTGGTTGTTGACATCGGTAGTAAGACGACAGCTTGGCTTAGTTTAAATTGTTAATAGTAAATTACATTAGTAATATGCCGATTATTGTATTAACAAAAAGAGAATACTATATTTTATATTACATTAACTGTTGCTCGCGACTTCGTCCGGGTGAAATTAAAAATAATAAACAAACCATAGCCTATGTAACTTACAGAATACCTTTCTAACGGTGAAAGAATTTTTCAAATCATCCCAATAGTTTTTGAGTTATTTCAGTACGTACAAAAATACAATTCTTTCCTCTTTACAACATTAGTATAGATATATGCATACAATTATTGGCTGCTTTAATAATAAATTTAATATCTTAGTAAGTGCAGACCGAACCCGGTTTTCACCAAGTAATTTTATCAACATACGTTGAAAGCAAACTTTGGCGGCGATGTTTTGCTCAAATGAAAGAAAAACAGGAACTTAGTTACAGAGTTATTATTCTCACGTCGTTATCTAAAGTTCTATTATACCGAATTGAACTTCTATCTTCGATACTAATGCTGAAAGTTTAACATCGAGGCTTCTGTTAGTACGAGTTTTGGAAGTTTTTCACAAGTTGTTTAGCTATGAATTTGTTGTGTTGATGTGTTTGTTGATGTGTTCAGAATACTAATAGCTGTTGCCAAACAAGATAAACTACTTACATGACTTTTGGATAATTTTTCTTTGTCATAATATTTGGAACAAATATTTACTAATACGTACATCGTTTCACTTTGACAAAGGCTGAAGACAACGAGATAAAAATTAATGACTATTTAGGAAGTGCCATATGATGATAAAAGTATTGGAAGATAGGCTACTGACTAGCCAGAAGTATTAGAACGCTGTTAAATATCTATTTTTAGATGAGATCGTTTAGATGTTACATGCAACAAATGTTATTGTAGCTCGGTTATTAGAAATTTACTTTTAATTCTGATTTATTTCCGTTTAGTTTTTCCACTATGTTTTTCCGTTCTCACAATTTTTCTTCTTTCTTCTTACTTATAAAGTTAAAAATATTGATACGTTTATACAGCTCGGAAGAGATACTTTGAAAGTTTTAATGATAATAAGTCTCGGAGACTGTTCTTAGAAATACTTTAAAATATTACTTGTTATCCTAAAGAAATTTCTTATCGTAGCATATTGTACTCTACGTGGTAAAAAGCTATAGCTAAATTAATTTTAGAAGTAGTCGGATACGACTAACGTGACAAAGTTTAAATTAATTTACACTAATATTATAAAGAGGAAAGATTTGTATTTTTGTATGGATCGAAATAACTCAAAAATCACTGGGCCGATTTAAAAACTCTTTCACTATTAAAATGCTACGTTATTAGTAATATAGTGAGGCTGTATTGTTTTTTTAATTATTTTTTAAGTTCACGCGAGCGAAGTCGCGAGCAACAGCTAGTGTTTTATAACACAACATCAAAACGTCTATACTAATCGTGTGATCTTCATTTGCAATTCGAATATCGCTGTTTAAATTAAAGAAAATAATGTTTATAAATTTTCACGAAAACGATAACATATTTCTTTTTTCAATATATGTTGATTAAAACGTATTACGCGTGTAAAGAGGCAATAAAGAAGCGGCGCATTAATCGTATAAATCACGCAAATCACGGGGCGCTGAGGGTAAAAACTTTTTGAGGGATAGTTTTCATTCGTAAATATCAGTACATATTTTTTAAAAACAACTTAATCATGGTAAAAATGAAACTGAAATGTTGCGTACTCATAACTTACCTAAGGCTGCGTTAAACCTAGTCCTTTTTAAAGGGCTCATATCTTCCCTTCTTTTTTATTTCGTAGAATTAAAAATGAATAGGTTTCGATTAGCAATCTATTTTGTGTTTGTTCAAAGACAAGCTGTCGAACTAACGAGATGTCAAACTGTAGCTATCGAGCAAACTATCGGTTAGTTCTCCTTGTTTACTTTGACCGTCTTTTAGATTCAATTTGATCGGTTAAGTATATTGAACACATACCTACATACCAATCTTTTATGCTTCTTCAAATGATTGAAAATTAAAATTTAACTCTACTGTATTGCGTTTCTATCTTTATCCATTGCAAGGTATGAGAAATTATTTTAATAGTGATCTGATACTCGGATACAATAAATGTTTAAAAATAACTTAATTGATATACTTAACTGAAGGAAGATGTAAGAGTAAATATTAATCAGTTGTATTCATAGAAATCTTCTGAATAACGAAGGACTTACTTTTTCTTAGCGGCACGTTCCTTCGTCTCCTTTTAACGAAGTAAGACAGACAGCCTCATTATCTGTAATGGAAGATCCGATTTCTTTCGCCAACCGCACGGGACACTGTTACGCTAATTAACTATTTAATACAAGAGTACCTTTAATTATAACCAATACCACGCATTTTATGTGCATTGAAACCCTGTCTCTCTAAAAAGTTTTTGCAATAGATAGATTTATTAGTTTGCATACAAATGAAACATTTTTTAATTTTTTTTAAAAATACTTTTCAAAACAGTTAATTGTTATGTTTTTCAAAAATAAAATGGCGTAGCATAACGTTACATCAGTTATTTTTTTTTAATGTAATTCTAAAAAAACAGCATAAAATATTAAATTTCTGTTGTAAAAGCTAACATTAATTTATATTACAACGCATGTCCTGTTTGTTTATTACACTTGTTTTCAATTGCGGTATTTAAATTATTCGTTCCTCTCAATATTTAATCTGGTTCCATCAATATTTCATTTGGCCAGTTTGCTTTTGATATATAAATATTTCACTTACATTATTTATTCATATTGCTTTCGCTAAAATTCTCATATTTATACACAGTTTTTGTGTTATTTTTGGTAGAGGTTAAAACATTTTATAGAAAATACAGTAAAATAAAAACCTTTTTATCGATGACAGTTTACCATTTTAACGGGTACTAATTCTTTTAGACTGACTTTGAGTTTAGTGTCAGTTTGAAACTCAGGAGTTGTGACATTAAGAGGTTCGCAAGCGCACTTGATTTAATTAAGTCGTGTAAAAGGTTGTCGAGCGCTGAGCGGACCCCGTCGTAAATATTGACGTTGATGAATAGACTAAGTTTAACCAAAAGTACTTTATTACACTTCGCACTTTTTCTTAATGAATTATTATTACAATTTGTTTTTTTTTATCTAAAAATATTATTATAGACATAAAAGGGGTAAAATGGGGTGTTTTACTTGCCTATAGATCAAAAGTTGAAACTAGCTATATACTGACACATGTGAAAATCGTTTATTGGAAAATATGTTATTTCTATTACTACTTAGTTATTGGCAGCGTTTTAATGTGGTCGGAGAACTAAAAAAAAACCGGCTGTAGTATTACGTGAAAATTTGTAATTAACGTGAAAAATATTTTCATTTCGTAAAATATCAATAAATACGACCTGTTCGTAATGAAAATGCAATTTATATGAATGTGCGTTCTTTTGAACGATTATTCTCAGACAAGTATTTTAATTAATGTTGTTCATGTCTCTTTGTATGAAACATTTATGTACGTTAAATAAATACATCGAATACCCAACATACTTCACATTTTTATTTACGTTTTACGATTTATTTACTAATAGGTACAACGTTTTATTTGTATTGTTCATTTGTAATACAGTTTGAAAGCAAGACAACAGAAAGGACATCTGGATCAAAGCTGGAGGTAAAACATAGTGGCAGCTAAGACTATATAAATTGTGGGAATTGTTGTGATTAGATGTAGTGTAGGAAGCTAGATTGGCAGTTTAGGTAATGCCAACATTCCATGTGATGATTGTTTGTATGTGTTGTAGCATTAAGGTCGGGGCGAGCGATCGCGGGGGGAGTTGTGCGCGAGGGGCGGCGGGGCGGCGGGGCGGGGGCGACATGAGCGGCGCGCCGCCCCGCCGGCATGCACAGACTGCGCACCACCTTCACGCGCTCCCGCACGCCCACGCCAGCAGACATGAAGACGCAGAGCAGCCTCGAGGTGCCGAAGCAGGTGATTACCGATGCCTCAAAACCACTTGGCGGTTAACCAAATTGGCTAGCTAGCCGCAACTTGAACTATCACCGTAATTGACAAACTATGTTCATTCCAATTAATTGGTTACACTGCTACGAACAGATGCAGTTTCATAGATAAATGTGACGTGGCATAAATAATGCAATCGATACAATAGATGCTGCCAGTAATTTAACTCCTATTCCAGATGCTTTGGTCTAATGGTTATTCATTAGACATGCTATTGCTTGGTCTATTAGAACTTTCCTTTTGTTGACTTTAAAAAGTCTATTGACAGCGCGTTAGTCCTACTGCAAGATAGAATTAGTGATTAATATTTATGAATGGTCGTTTCCAGCTGACATTGAATTCCCTTTAGTGACTGAGCTGCTCCGACCACAAACACGATCGGTCCTGCCCGATCTCATTATCACGTCCTAAATAAATAATGGAGTTTTCTCAAGTCACCTAATGAACTGTTTTAGATGGCGTTTTGGTCAAAACCCGAGAGGGCTTAATGATCCGATCTCACTAATGGCACATCTAAACTTTTCGTGTTTTACTCTTAAGTAATTTGTTAAGTACGAAAATAACAACTGTATTTTAATAAAATTGGAAAAGGCCAACTCTTAAGAGCCTTTTATCGCAATAATCTATTTTTGTGTAACTTATATTTACAATTTATATTTTCCTACTATAAACAAAATCTTAGTGTTCAAAGATCATTTTTGTTTATACCCGCTGTCGTTCACGAGGTTGCTACATCACGCCTTGTGCTCTAGTTGTATTTAATAAATAAAGGCAACATCAATAATTCGATATCAATATCGCTTTGTCTTGTCACTGAACTGAAACAATGCAAAGTGTGTAATATTCTATTTATTAAGACATGCTTCTCGTGGCACCTTATGCTGACTATCTTATGCCCGTTAAAACTTAAAATTGCACTACCATGTGCTCTTCTTTGCTAAAATTTCAAACTAAAATTGACGAATCTGCTTACAACAATAGTTTTTATCCATAAAATCTAAAAGAGGTACTCCATAGCTCGATGTTAATATGTTTTATTTTTGTCTAAGGTGCGATCTGCGTCTTTCGATGAGATCCAGTTGGAGGCAGCGCGAGGGCCGGGCGGCGGCGGGCTGCTAGCCGCTCCTTCGACTCCGCCGGCTCCGATGACTCCGGAACTTACCTCGAGGTAACAATACCACAATCTCACAAAAGATATGCGTGAACTATTTTTACAATGCAATTTTTACGTGCCTTTTCCGCATTGCTTGTTTGCCATTTTGTATTTCATGTTTATACCTGAATTTCTCTTTAATTTAGGAAAAGGAGGACGTGGTGTTCTATTCTTTCTTTGTCTCAATCCTGTCCTACCTATTCGATTTGATATTATTGATGTTTTATTTTTTATCTATAGAATGTTATATATAAAAATCTACAAAGAATCGGAAAAGGTAGCAAATTAAAACTTTTGGCAGTGCTTCCAAGCGTTCTCTTTCAATTAACTTTATTGAATCAGAACTAAGTGAATAGAATTAACGCGCAAATTTATCAATTTATATGAAAGAACAAAAATGTGAAAAGAACTAATTTTAATTTGTTACTTGATTTTTGGCAATTGTTAAGAAAGTTGATTACGGTCAAATTACAAAATGTTTAAGATATTTACCATTGCCTGTTGTTATGTAAGAAATCAAATGCTAAAATTTGTTAGCAATATTTCATAGCAAAAGCCCATCCCTGGACATTGTTTCTGTTCAAAAGCGTATATCAATTGATTTGAAAGTACTTTCAAGTAACATTAGAGACATGCATATTGTGACATTTCCATCTAAAAAGTCACTTTTTTTGAATAAATTAATATTACTAACGTCCTATTTATTTGTACAGGTTCCGCGTCTTTGGTCCAGACGCAGATCTGGTAAGGGCACGCCGCCACCATGCGTGCACTGCCGGCACATGGAGACGTGGCTGGCTCGGCGGAGTGAGGAGCGCGCTACGCCCGAGCGCCCGCCCGCCTCCTCCTCCGCCGAGGATGATGATGACGAAGACGATAGTGAAACCGACTCACCGAGGGTTCTACTAGCCCCGGTACCATCACCCAGAACATTGCTCCCGGCGCCACAGTCGCCGCCGCCCTCACCCGGCGCACCGTCATTCGAATTACAACCGCCAACCGATGAACCACCTATTCTACCACAAAGACGAAAGTCCATATCGAGGCAGGAAGCTTTCTTTGTTGAACCGACTGGAAGTTCTTTAGAAAACGTTAGAGCGTCTGAGCAGGATGCCAACGATTCTGCCAGAGATACTTTCGTGCACGACATATACCTCGCCGTACCAGAGTTAAAACGTGACCGCGCCGCGTCTGTCGATTCGTGTTTCTCGAAAGTATCGGGTGGAGCTCGCGCGGAGGAACTCAGCGGCACTGGTGATTCGCTGACAGTGCCCGGTAATAACTTACGTTCACGATCCGTGGATATTGTGCTACCTACCGCTGAGCAGAGCCGTTACAAAGCGCTCGCGTTGACCTCCTCGCAGGCGCCGGCACCCCTACAACACCAGGGACCTCAAGAAGCTGATGTTATTATCCTACAACCTCTTGACGAAAGGTCAGTGGATAAAGAAATTAATAAAAAAAGTGCTTTGTCTTGTTTTGTTTTTCTTTTAGTTTTAGATAATTTCTTTCAGAAACTAAATATTTTTTGTTTTGCCGCATGCTTTTACAGAATGCAATTTCATTTATTGTACTAATTAAAATTAGTTTTAAATTTTCATTTATGAGTTCATGGCTGTTTTTGTTTCTGGTATAATTACTGTGTACTAACGTAACCTTCCTCATTAAATGAGATGGATTTATGGCCTATGGGAATAAATCATAACCTTCAACATAAAATAGTTGTCCCAAATATTTTCAAAAAATCACACAGTTAACAATAATTAATGTAGTACATTAGTTATAATATATTTGACTTTTAAATAAAAATTATAAATTCTCCGAATCAGTTCAAACAGAGCAGTTTCAAGTTTTCCAGAGTTTGTTAGAACTCAAATGCGAAAGAACAAACTACTACTTACACTAAAAAAAAGTACGACGTAGTTTTCATGTCAATTAGGAGACAAGATAAGTTTAGGACGAACTTCCTGACTATGATTTTACACTGCCATTATGCAAAAACATATTGATAAATGAGAAATAATTAAATAATGTGTTTTTAAACAGGCGTTGCAGAATTGGAAATTCTGGGTTAAATATGTTACCAACCTCTTAACTGAAACATGAAGGGAAAGTATCCAGAAAGTTTTCTTTAATGTGAGCTTATGAATTTCACTGATAAGTAACTTTTTGCTCGTGTTTACTTTGCGGTGATGGATGGCCGTAAAAAGAATGTTCATTCTCATCTTAAAATACACATTTCTTTTATAAATTTCCTTATACAAAGTTTAGGTCGGTTGCTGTATTTTTGTTTTTCTTAACGTTTGACGGTTCAAGGCTATAAGGGAAATAAAATGACGAGCCGATATGTCCATTTATATTTGTTAATGCTTCCCACTACCAAAAAAACAGTTTACAAGTTTGTAACTATCTTTCAAACATTCCATATAAAAACAATGTTTTATGGAAAATTTCGCATGTCAGTAGAAATTCACGAATAAATTCTCGTTCTACACTAATACCAATGTTTACTAGTAAAATTACTTAACATTAGAGCTAAGTATAATGTGTAAAGAGGATTCACTGATTCAATTACAAACCTATTACGAAGACTTGTTGAATATCGTCTCTTTTGTGTTTATATTGTTTTAACTTAGAGAATATGTAACTTGATCAATTTATAGAAGTTTCGTTAACACTAAATTAGCGTAGGAGAAAAGATATCGATGGTCATTGATAATTTTAAACCACTGTCTTATTTTATCTTCAATTCAAATTTCAATAGAAATTTTTGGAATAAAATTTAAAATAGAATCGTAACTCTTTTACGGAGTCAAGCCGTTTGTTATGCTTTTATCAAGTAGAATAAACTTGAAGAAGAGAAAATTTTACCAAGTTAATAATAAACAGCGCTCCAGATGCCTGAAGGCTTTAGCTTTTTTTTATTTCGTTTTTACTCAAAGAAACCGATGTATTAATTTTACGGGCATTTCTATATTTCCTATTTGTTTAAAAGAAAGGCTTGTATAAAGACTATTAAATAACTTGACAAACGTTACGTTACGTTTTAAAATTACTAACAATTTATACATCTTAGGTTCTTGGGTTCACCAATATGATATTTGATTTTTTCGAAATTCGTATGTACATAATTATCCGGCGTTGTTACGGTGAAGGAAAACATCTCGATGCAACCTACACATATCGGAGAATAAATTCAAAGATTTGTGTGAAGTCAACTTGGCTTAGGCTCCGAGCCGCTAGTGGGGACATATAGTGAGCTGGTGATGATGATGATGATTATAATGTTGACGATGATGACGATAATGATGATACATTTCTTATGAAAAATAAAATTGTTCTTATGCAGAAAGCAGTTCATGGTCACCATCGTCTTCTTTTCATAGATGCGAATAGAAACGAATTGCGTGCAGACGTAAAAGGCTTTAGAAAAACCTTCTTTATTTACTCGCTGACGATTTGAATAGCGGCTTTCTATGGGGGCCGGCAAATTAGAATTTAAAATGGCACTTCTTTTCACGCGATACTTGAATGAGTAAGTTTTCTGACAGAACTCCTGCTGCAATCCGTTGCGAAAAATAAAATAATTGAAGACGACATTCTCACAAGATAACTAGATAATTGTGTTCTATACGAGTATATCGAAATGTACCGTTTAAGAATTAGGCGAACTATACATATATAGACACAAACTATGTATCTTTCTTTTAGCATTTTTCAAAAAGTGTTGTCAAAGCAACGTGCATGATGAAATTGTTATTATCAACACAACCAGAAATATTTCAATGATTAATGTGATCATGTCAACTAAATAATGAACCACAAATGTTTTAAATATTTAATTAACAATTCATGGTTCCAATGTGGCCAATGAAAGGAATGTGACAATTGTGCTAATATTATAAATGCAAAAGTTTAATTTTCACACGGACGGAGTCGTGGGCAAAAGCTAAAAATAATAATAAAGTCAGAAGTAAATAAAATTAAAAATATTACCTTTCTGAAGCAGTCGGATAAAAACATAAAAGCATTCTTGACTTCAACTGATTTAAATTCAACTCGCAAACAAAACTTAGAAACAGTACAGTGCAAAGAGATAGGAGTAAAAGTGTACATTAAACGGAACAGGTGTGGGTGGTCACGTACACCTTCTAGAACACCGTACATAAAATTATATTTCCTCTACGTTCCGAAAAACAACTAACAGTCTCATAAATGTAAATGGCCGTTTAAAAAGATAACCGCTTCTTATTTAAACACAGGGAAGCGGAAGATTTTGGTATTTAATGTAAAATGTTTCGCTAAACTCGCTTTGTGAGCAAGCGGAAATACTTTAAACTACGTTTGTGCATCTTAAACTTACTTTGAAATATATGATATAAACTAAACGAAATTACTTAGAATGGAAAAGGAATTCTGTCGAAAAAGTTTAATTAATTCTTTTATTAAGAGATTGTTACTCAGTTGTATAAATGTTTAAGTGGCTAGTTTGTCAGTGTCCTGTGCTATTCATTAAACAAATATTTTTTAGTTCATTTCCTGCCAACAAAAACAATTTATTTTTTACACGTATCAATGTGTGTGTTGTCAACTTTGTTAATTAATTAGCAATTCCCGGGGCATATGTTACAAAAACTTATTGACTTTAATTAATACTCATGTATTGTACCGACAAGTCATGTGTTACAATTTTACGGGACTTTCACTGAAGCTGAATTTAATTAAGCACTTTATCAATTTAGATATTTCTTTTACCCGTACTTAATGCACGAGACCTGCGTTTTTTATGTTTATGACATACTATAAAACTCTGATTTTGATCTTTAAAGTTTACAGTAAAATTACGCATTGAAAGTTTCGAAAAATAATATCGGGAAATCAATAACTATTTAATATTAATTATCAATAAAGTAATTACAGTGATGTAGAAATCAAAATTTGTTTCAACTTGCCCGTGATCAAATTTCTTGTTGGTGAAATTACACTTGTAAATTCTTGTAACTGAACCTTACAAGTCTACGAGGATTCTATTACAATCTAAATGACTTCTTAGCAAATGGTTATACTAACATTTTTATGATCCAATTTAAAAATAGAATCATTTTGTTATTGTAAGTCCCTCAGGAAAAGATCCAAAATGAATGTCACTTATTATTTGTACATTAGTTAAAGAAATTGTATGTTGCATTATGAATAACCAATTTTAATTTTACGATGAACATATGTAGGTAAAAATCTAATATAAAACTACATATTGGTAAAGGGTAAAGGTAGAGTAACTGGCAGCTCTTATTTGATGGCACTAAGGAAACAATCTTCGAAGGAAATATACATTCTTACAATTGACATTTACTATAACTTTCAAATAATATACTGATACTAGCTGTTCCCGTGCGACTTCTTCCACATAAAATTATGAACATTTTATTTTGTTGTTGACATGACATAACATTATGACAAACCATGGCAACCTTGCTTCCTTGATATCGGCAGCAACTTATGGTTTTTTTTCCACATTAGGGTTTTTATCCAAAATATTTACCCACTAAGTTTAATGGCGTGAAAATATAAAGCCTAAAGCATGACGTAAGTGTAGGGCTTTTTATTAAAACAAGAATTATTCAAAAATATGCTGTAATTGCTGACATTTTAGGCAACAAAAAGTGTGTGTTTACGCTTTATTATAATAGTATAGATTAAAATAACTCAAAACTACTAGGCGGGTTTTATAAATACTTTTACCATTAAAAAGCTACGTTTTCAGTAAGTAACATAGGCTTCTTTAATATTATTTTTATTTCACGCGGCTGAAGTCGCGAGGAACAGCTAATAACAATAGTTTGAACTAATATGTCGTAATAGACACGGTTAATGTGCTAGAAAAATGATAACACAGTCTTCAGATGCAGTAAATTTAATTAGTAAAACTATCTTCTAAGCATTGGTTGTATGGCAGTATAAAAGAGGGCTGTAGGCGGTTGTCGGAAACATGCATCGGTAAACCGCTCGCCCGGAGGCATAGCGGTTAGCTTATGCATACTTCGCCTGCTACTTGTATACTCGAGTACGCTGATTAAATGCCTAATTTTCTAACTAGATATTTACCTAATTAGGTTGATATATGACGTTAAAAAAACCGAAGAAAAGTTCAATTACTCTATACCAACAAAACAAAGAAATTATCTGCATGTTATAGAATAGAAGATAATTTAAAATAGATTAATACTACGAGATATGTAGTTATGTCTTTTCGTCATGATACAAGTGCTTTTTCTTAGTTTGATTTGAGCAAGTCATCTCTCAAGTTTAAACTTTTTAATTGTGCTAAAAATAAATTTAATATCTTTCTATTTCTTAGGAAAGTTTTGTAATTTTAACCGACGTGACTAAAATATAAATTGTATTTGTTTCTATTACAGTCACGTTCTCTTTGGTAGGATACAATAAACAAGTTAATATTTGTAAAAGTAGCTGTTATTAAGATTTTATTTAAAAAAGAACAATATTTATTTATATATATATCTTGATTACGACTATCTGGTACTGCCTAGACTAAAATATAGTTTTAATAGCAAAAACGAGAAGCAATTTCATTATAACATTTAGATTTTTTTAAGAAACAAGTCTTCAAATAATTTAGAAACTCTTTATATAAATGTTTTATTTTCCGACACGACAAGGCTAAAATCATCTAAAAAACAAATTCTTGTTTTTATTAAGCTTGAGTAAAGTAAAAGTGAAGTCTCAAAAAATAAAGCTAAAACTCTATACGGAGAGGAAATATCTGACGATTTTTTTTTGCTTCACGAAGGGAACTGCAGGAGGCGTGTTTATTAAAAATGTTAGTTTACTCATATTTTAAAAGCGTTTTAAAAGCATCGTTGCCTGCAGGGAGTTGTTCTTCTTTTTTCTGTATTTATAAACGTCTTTGTTGTTTTTATATTTATTTATTGCGATTTGTTTTGAATATTGTTGATAACCTTACGGCGATATTTTCTTCTTGGAAAAAAAGAGACAAATATCTGTTATTATACAGTTTCCGTCACCGGTAATTCACTGTGAGAGTACTATGTCTGTAATTTTCCCAAAACTTTTTCGTGTAGTAAAATAGTAACCTTTATTACTTACAAAAACTTACTGTTCTAAATTTCTTCCATAATCCTACATTACTTAATAAAATTCTGATTATTCAAGGTTGTTATAATTATGAACATAGTCCCTTAAAATTAAATATTGTATTTACTCGTATATGTTACAAAGTTTTAATAAGTTCTCTTTGTTTTGATTTATACATGAATATTTAATGTGGCAAAAGTAAATAATTTACGCGCTGTTCGACGCCATTTTGTAATGTCTTGTCTAAAAAGTTTGACACTCCGCCTGTACAATAAATGGCATATCCATTATCAATTTATGTTACGCTTAAACATAGATGCTCCATTATTTTGCGTATAACTTTAATGACGCTGTATTTTTATTTCTGATACCCTCTATACAAAATTGATTCAATGAAGACGGTCCCTGGTCTAGTGTTAGCGTCTGGCATTTTTCGAGCTTAAAGTTTCCTAGTCATATAAAACATTCAATTACCTCAAGTCTCATATTCATTAACTTTAATTAATTGCCATTTAAAACGGCGCCACGCCAAGTAAATGAAAGAATATTTCATACATTCTGCTGTTTATTATAAATCTTACAGGGGCTTTAGGAAGTTATACGGCGCACGTAAATTAAATTAAATATTCTATTAGTTTTGTAATAAAGGTATGCATAATAAACCAATGCACAGTTACTTAAATTTAACTAAATTTAGATTAATTTGTGTTATATATTTTTCTCAGATGTAGCTAAAGAAAGTTGTTGATAGTTGGTATTTAAAGAGCCAATGTAAGGAAAAATTATATGTTTTTTTTTTAAAGATAGCTATCTGAATCTCTATGAGCCAGTGGTGGGCAGGCCCTAAATTTTGTTATAGTATATATAGACGTAATCTATTGGTATATACATGTATCAGTCAAGTGTTAAGTCAGATGAAAAGATCGTTCCCTTTTACCGCTCGCCCTGACTTTAGTGATGCGACTAAATGGTCTCATAATTATGCGTAGCCAGCGCCTCGTGGTAGTTTGATGTCGAAGTGAATTATTAGCGATTCTTTGAGTCATTAAAATTAATACGTTAGTTTGCGTGAGGGCAGCGATGCATGTTACACACGTTCCCATATCATTAAGTGAACGGATCGATAAAGCTTAGCGGACTCGTGTTATTTCTATTAAAGAATAAAATTATGTTAACATTACAAAAATAGGAGGCAAGAAAGGTCAATTTATTAAAAATCAAACAAAACAGGCACCAGTTATCATAGACTCCACATATGTAAGAACTACAA